GCTTCACCAGTTTATTCGGAGGCAAAGGAGGAGGAATAGAACCGGTAGGCGAAAGAATGGGAGCGGCTGAACCGTGAGAGAAAGCGACAGACTGATTATCGAAACCCAAACTCGACCTGATGCTTCCGTGTTGTGACAAAGGCCGTAGTGACAGGCGTCTCATCCAGGACCCACTAGAGGAAACCGAGTCTCTCGTATCCTCATTGACCGAGGGCGCAGTTGCTTGATCTCCCTGCTTCACGTAGGACGCTCTCCTGCTGTGCAATATGGAGGGCGCAAAGTTGAAGTGAGAGCTGAGAGGACGGCGGGGGCGCGCAGAGGGTTCGGCCGGGGCGTCGTTTGGGTTTGAATTCGAATTCGAGTTCGAGGTAAAGGAGAAATGAGTGGGAAGTGGCGTGTAGCAGGCGTCGTCGAGGGTCGGCAGCTGGGCAACAGAACTGGTGCCGGGCCGTGAGGAAGAGACGGGAGGGCTGCTCAGTCGATGATTCGGAGGAATGTCTTGGTCTGAGACTAGTATCCTCCTGTTGGAAGAAGACTGTGTGGAACTCGAATCGTCGGGATGAGCAAACACTAGACCTACAGCCGCTGCAGCAACGGCAGTGCCAGTTCCCACGAGCTAATGAGGCGACGAGTCAGCAGGCAAGATGGGATGAACCAGGCAAAAGAGGGACAAGATATCAGGGACACCGGTGCTGCGTGCTGGGAAGCATGGGAATGGAGGAGTATATGGGAAATGAGGAAGACCCATATAGGGCGGGAATTGGTGTGTCTACGGGAGAAGAAAGCATGCGCAACACAGTATCCGCGTGGTTGTGATCCAAGCAGGTGTTGGGGGGATGCCTGTCGGGGTGGATGGCAAAATGCTAGTAAGCAAGCATGAAGGCAATCCAACTTACACTGGGAACGGTCTGCATGATTGCAGAGCCTTATTCGACGCGGGAGAACCAAGCTACGGCTACGAGGCCCAAGACGGGCATGCGGGCGGAAGAGTCGTGGATGCTCTCGAGAGACGTGGTGAGCATCGTCAAGACATATGGGCCAATTTCTCGGGTCGTATGGTGAGGAATGCGTGCGTCGAGTCTTGATGTGTTTTCCGAGGTGTGGGTGGGTGGGTTGTGTCGCGGTCTCGGCGGGCAGAGAGAAGACGGATTCCAGGAGAGGGAGGGAGTAAGAAAGAGAGAGAAAAAAGACTGAGAAGTTGGAGAGAGAGAACAGGGGCGCAAGGTTGAATCGAAGTAAAGAAGTCCTAGACAGGGCCGTTGGCGATTTGAGCTGGTGGTGGTTGTGGTGGAGGACGTAAGGTGAGTTGTCTAGTTGAAGAGCGAGAGTGAGGCCCGAGACAGAGAAAGGGCTGTAACGGTAGGGCGAAAGAAGAATCGCACACACGTCGAGCGACCGTGATCTCACACAGACGGATTGGCCCTCGGACAATCAAGTACTACGGCCAATGGGTCCAGGAAACCCCCCCGTTGGACCAGAATAGAAGGCGAATGGAAAGAAAAGGACGCTGGGGACCGAAGAGAAGGGAAGAGGAAGAGGAGGAGGAAGAAGAAGCGCGCAAGCGGGTTGAACGCGGTAGAGGTCAGATCAAGCCAGACCCGGACACGGTGAGGTGAAGTAAGGTCCCGTCCCGGTAAAAAGGTAGGTAAGTAGAGGTAGGTAAGTTAAGGTAAGGTGAGGGCGAGTTCGAGAGTGGGTGAGGAGGAGAGCAAGGTGGGTGGAATTGGAGACGGGATGGATGGGTGGACGGGCAGACGGGGTGGGCGAGTTTGGTAGGGTGTGGTTGGTGTGTGTATGGTGTCCGTGGGAGTTTGTTCATTCGTTCTCTCGGATGGTCAAGGTAGTAAGGTCCAAGTCCGGGTCCAGGTCCAGGTGTCAAGGTCCAGGTCAAGGTGTCGGTGCTGATGCCGGTCGGTGCTGGGTGTGGTCTAAAAAGTCCAAGGTTCGGGGAGAGGTCAAAGAGGAATGGACGACGAGAGAAAGCAATGCAGATGCAGAGCAGACGAGAGCACAAAGCAGTCTCTGTGTGCTATGGCAGAGTACAAGTCGAGGAATTGGCAGCTAAACCGAGTATAAAGGGTGGACACTAGATAGACAGGTCGCTACGGTACGGAGTATGGTATGGATAATGGAGAACAAAAAGAACAAGAAGAGGAAGCAGGGTCGTTGTTCCCAGAGAGGATAAGACTGGGATAGACCAGGCTAGCTGAGCTGGAGACCTTCTCTCTCTTCGTCTTGACTCTTGGCTGAAGTCTGACGGTCGAGCAGGGTAGGGTGGGCGTGGATCGTCTTGGAGGAATCGGGAATTTGGAGACCCAGGCAAGGCTTGCCAGGACAAGTGGAGGGGGGGCCAGGGCAGCCGAGGAGGGGAGAAGATACAGTGACAGAGTAAGTCTTGTCTTTTGCTTGTGCCTGTCTGTATTCGCAATCCGTATGAAGTTGTTATTGTATCTGTGGTTCAGTGTGTTCGGTTGAGAGCGTTGCTGTAGTTGTGGTTTGTCTTCTGTGTTGTTTACTACTCTTTCCCTTGCTTGACTCCCTTTCTTTTTCCTCGTCTCTGTCAAATTTTCTTGTTATTTTTTTTTCTCTCTTTCCTGTATCCTTTTCATAAACAAAAGCGGGCAGGAAATGGCAGATACGCATGCACAGACACACAGAAAAGAGAGCAAGATGGGAGAATGAGAGCAAGTGGAGCATTGGGGGAATGGGGAATGGCAAGCGGGCCAATACCTGCGCTAACGTACCTGCTGCCATGTACCTTATGTACGTACTCCCCCCAGTACTTCGAGAGATAGAGGTACACGCTGGGAAAGGTACCTCTGGCGCAAGAGCCACCACTACCTAGGCAAGATATGCGCAGGCAGCTGCTAACTGTTCGCAGCCCAGTGCCTCGAGGTACTTTGCAAGGTGCCTTGCTGCGCAGTGAGGGTAAGGATCCAAGGCAGGCGGGTGTCCACTCTCAGGGCACTATCCATGTTTGCAGGTGCATAAGGTACCTGGGACGGCGGGTGGGCCATCGCTAAGTGCCAGGAGTGGCCCTCGCTGGCGCCTCTCTTCCAGTAGCCGTGGACGCGTGGAGTAGCAGGAGATGACTGCTGAACGCTCCGAGCCAGTCGCTGCCCTGGTAAAATGACGGACCTGCAAGCCCGCGCCCAGCACCCAGGGGACCTGCCTGTGATGTCCTGCACCGTCCATTGGGCCATGCCTTGCTTTCCTACTCCGTAAAGTACCTACGCAGTAATGCACCTCAGCTACCAGGTACTTGCCGTCCATGCCTTATCCAGCAGTTGGTTCATGTACCTCAATATCCATCTGCCATCAATGTTATACACAATACGACAATTAATTCAACCATTAATCAACGCCTCCTGTTGTTCCCTACACACGCAGTACACTTTCTACTCCTTACACAATGCAGTACAGATGCAATGACCAACTTGGAGGTCTACGACTCTCTTTCCTTTTTGTCACAACCTGCCCGGGCATGCTGGCTGACCTGGGCAATAACACACTCAACCTGTCGATAACACACCGTAACAGCCAACACGACTGAGCACAAGAGCAAACTGCTTCCCATCCCACGCCTTGTTAGTCACAAACAGAAAGTTACCTACAACTGCCCGACGGAATCCTTCCTGCAACGGACCGCTACTTGTCTTTGTCCTCGTCTCGTCTGTTCCTCCTTCCTCGCCCGCTACGCAACTTCTAGCATGGTGAGGCAGCGCCAACCAGCCGCCATGTTCCACTTCTATTCCGCTTCTCATCCTCCTCTCCCGTCTTCTCTACTCCAGATACCAGATACACATGCAATCAAAGTATCCGTACACATACGGAACACTGTGCCCAAAGCAGTACTATCTCGAATGCTCAACGAACCCGCTCTGCAACACTCTTGACTCGAGTCCAGCCTCCATTCAAGCCTCAATGCTTCTTTGTTGCTTCCATGGCCGCCCCTCCTTTTCAAACAACCCAAAACAGGCCAGCTCTGATCCGAACCGATGCTACACTGCTCAGTGCTCACAGAGTACTGTACTCTCGCCACTGCCACCAGCCCACCGGTGCCAGCCCCCCTGCCACTTCACAAAGAGGCTATTCCAGAAACCAACCGAGCCAACGTAAACGTAGGCTTGGGAAATCCGGGCTGCCGTGGGTGCGTGGAAAGAAGAAACACCGAAAGAACACCACCTGTCCTAGCGCAAGATCGGCTGAGACCTGCTATCTCACCTCCTTGGCACAATCCAGTCAGCACCAAACCCCCCCGTCTCGCACCCGAAGACTGCCTACGGATACGGTACGCTACCACGACTACTTACTTTTTGCTTTCCTCCTCAAATACCAACCTCTGGTGTTCTCGGCCGGGCCTGTAATGACAGGAAAAAAGGTCACAGGCCGCCTCGTGGCCCTTCTCACCACACGTCCGTTAAAGTCGGAACGCTTGTCCGTGTCTAGGACTCTTTAGTCTCTCGCCTTGCCAAGTTGCCAACATGAACCTGGTCTCACTCGAACCACCTTTGCTTCCAAAACCACCTCCCTGACCCTGCCTAATTCTCGCGTGGTTGCTTGCCGATGGCCATGGAGCAGATGGTACGTGTATCCGAAGGGGGCCGCCGCGCGACGCAGACAACAACAAGCAGCAGCCCACAACAACTCCCGGCGCTTTCAAAGAGCTGACGGAAGACTATCTTTTGCAGGGGCCATGCCTGAGCTGAGAAGCGCCCCCTCACTCTCGGAGAGAAACCCAGGCGTATCGATCTCCGGAAGCGCCGCAGCACTCGCTTGCTTGCTGTTACTCGCCATCTTTTTAATTCAGGCTCGTCCAGCGGCAGCCTACCATTGCTAGCGGATGGCACTGATGGAGCCCGTCTGTGAACCCGTTGGGAACACCTACAGAGTACAGATACATTAACGCCCAAACCATCAAACCCGCATGGCGGCGACATCCCGTCTACACTTTATGTTTTGTTGCCTCTGTGGACATTGTACCGCGCACAGGATAACCTATGAATCCTCAGCTCGTGTTGCCGACCACGTTTGCACGGCGTCAAGCCACGCTCGCTTCACTTCTGACACCTGCAGCAACTCTGCCTGTTTCTGTCTCTCATCTCGAGATTCAATGCCTACTGACGTCGCCAAGTTTGCCCTTGCCTCGTGTTACTGTCGTTGGCCGTCGTCCATTCAGCCCATGGGCACCAGCATGCCGCCATCTGCCGTTGACTTGCCTCATCTCAAGACATACAATGCCATCTTGGACCGCTACACCTTGGAAGAGGTTTCAACGGGAGAAGGCACGGTACGACCACGACCATATCCTCTATTCCTGTTACACAAGCAGAGGAGTCCTTGCCTATCTACCTAGCAGGCGCGCAAGACCGTCCAGATGGTCTGTTCCTTGCCCGCAGGCGTACACAGGCCTCAGGCCATGGGGTGGAGGAGGGACCTTGAAGCAAGTGATAGGAGACTTGTAAACACCGGCATCCCAAGTCTATCTTACCGCGAACCGTTTCCTATCAAGTCGACCAAGGAAGACCCTTTGATCTCGCAGAGACCGGCTCGATTTTTAGCAGCTTTTTCTTCTGCAACCGTCGTCTTCACCTCCACCACCATCACCAACATGGCGCCATCAACCTACTTCGTGCTCCTCTGCCCCTTCTCACTCGCCAACGGCGATCCGTAAGCTACCGGGCACCGGTAGACGACCATGGGAAGAGGAGCAAGCAAAACTACATGTACCGGAAAGAATGGGGTTTCGTGGTACGGTGTGCGGGGGATAGAGCTGAAGCATCGGTGTTGGAGATCAGCCAGGCCAACAAAACAGGTCTCCAAAGAAAAGACCAGACGATGCAACTCCATCCGACAGCCACAGAGCCCATAAAGTTCGGCACTACGCACGGAGGAAGTGGCCCTCGTCCTGCTCCCCGCCTCCCGGTATCTTCTTTCAGCTGGTCCGATGCATCAACAAGCCGGGGCCTCTTTTGCTCTTCTTTTCTTTTTTCACCGCCCTCTCTCTCTCGTTATTTCATCTGAATACCTAGACCACGGGGGGCAATGTATCTCGGTTTCGTGGTATCGATGCTCCCACTGGCGATCTCTATAAGACCCTAGTACACATGCGTAGGTACACGCACACACGCACAGCGCGTGCAGCATGTTGCTTGTTATCCCAAGATCTTGTGCTGCGACCGCCAGCAAAAGCCGCGTGGTTGAGCGAGACAACACAGATTAAAGAAGAAACGATGCCCCAGAGACAGATAGGCCGCTGACCCAGCTGGGTGGCCGCCGGTCTGATGTTGTGATGGGATGGGACCTGAGTCTTGACCACCAGTTGAACCATCCACCCCGCCTACGGTGACGAGGTGACATGGGTGGTAAGACTCGAGAGAGGAACCTACGCAGTATCCAGTATCCACGAGCAAGGGCCCGCGGCTGGTGGGCCACCTGCCGGCCTGTGTTTTGAGTTGCGGTTGCTTGACAGCCATTGACAACGACAACAAACCAAAACAACAACACACACAAAAAAAAGCAAAACAAGTAAACATCCTACCCGAACCGGCACACACCATCATCTCACACAACCACCTCACACCACACACACCACGAGACACAACGTTGAGATCGATCCTCGCCGGCAGGTACAGTCTTACAGATAACAGAATGGAAGGGGTCCTCCCCCCCCCCCCCCCCCCCCCCCCCCACCCCCCCCCACCCCCCCCCACCCCCCCCCCCCCCCCCCCCCCCCGGGACCAAACGTTGGGACCGCCCCCCCCCGGCGGGTAAAGTTTTAAAAAAAAAAAAAGGGAGGGGGCCCCCCCCCCCCCCCCCCCATGCTGTGTGATCCACGACGCAAGGCCCGTCACAAACATCATTGCCTGGCTGTTGTTAGGTGATACCGCAGGACACGTCGTTTCAACATGCGCATGCCATGTCCTTGAGACAGACCGAGATGGATTACCTATTGGCCTTGATGCCCTGGTCCTTGCCGACGTCAGAAGAGTTTAGCTTGCCCAGACGTTCCATTTCATACCCCGCTCCTTCCATCTCTCCATCGTTCGCAGAGGTACGAAAATGCTTGAAGACTGAGAAAGAAGCTCGGTGGTTATCAACAGTGGGCGAGTACCTAATTACTCCGTAGACTGAGGTGAGAGGCTCAGTCACCCCTCTCCACACCAGATCAAACATCACTCCAGCCTCACCCCCACCGACTCAATACCTACCTTAGATGGAGATGAAGATGTTTCTGCTCCTTTGGGGGAACGAACCACTCTTTCGTTCAAGGTTACCCGTCCAATCAGCATGTCGCCTTTCGAACTGTGGTTTGGGATACACGAATATCCGTCATGCGTCCTTCACCCCCGCTCATGCCATTGGCAATCCAGCTGGGGAGGGGAAAAGAGAGGGTCTGACGAGACAAGGTCCAGACGACGATCTCCTGTGAGGCTCTCTCCGATTCCGACGTCTCTCTCTCTCTCTCTCTCTCTCTCTCTCCGCCAGCCCACGGTGTCCACCAGCCGAGCCTCAATAGCGACTCGTGCTCCCCGCCAGCAACCATCTGCAAAATGGAAGACAAGTGCGAAGAAGAAAATTGCGGCGGCTGGTTTGTGAAGCACTGAGTAGTGAGCACGCACATTTGCGGCGACCTCGTGTCGGTACTCACCCGCACTACTGCCATGTTTTCTTCTCGAGTACCGTAAGTCCGTACAGAGAAAATGAAGAAAACATGCGGGAAAACTCCTAGTTCCGCCTGGCTAGTAGCAAACTTTCCAAGTTTCGCCCATCCCGTCATACCGCAAACCCGAACGCCTCATGCTGTCCACTCGTCAGCCAAACGCACTCATCCATATTCGAGGCAACCGCTTGCTCTAGCGGGCAGGGCGTACTTGGCATTTGGTGCTTTAGCGTAAAAGCTTTCTGCCCAACCTCTAAGCTTCAGCAAAAGTCGGAAGAAGGACAGAGAAACCAGAGCCGAATTACGACATGTGGCCCGCCATTTGCATCTGCAAATCCGGCATGGCACAAAGAAGATGTATTCGGGAAAGCTCGCTCCACGGGACCCCTGTTATCGTGGGATTCGGGAACCGGGGGGTGGGAGGAACGATCTGACAAAGCCTTGGCCAATCCCATCTGCTGCCGTTGCGAGAAGCTCTTGAGCGTTTCGAGGTGACACAAATGATCCAAATTCGTCTTTCTCTCCCTCAACGTTTGACTGAGGGCTTGAACACCTCATCGTCGCAAGCGATTGTTAAAATTTGGAGTAGTCAAGGGTCCAAGGCTAGAGTAGAGAAAGGACCCTTCTCGCCGCGCCCTAAGCTGGACCGAACGAAGCTCCAGCAAATGTCCGGTAGTGCGTGATCCGGCTTTGAGCTTTCGAGAATAACGAAGCTACCGTATCGCCGGCCTTTGCGGCCGTTCCAACTAGAGCCGGCAATGAAAGAAACACGAAGCGAAGCCGTCTGGTGCCAGATACATTGGCGCCGCCCAACGAGGTTACCGTAGTGTTCCAGATGACCTGATTCTTCGTGTTGCGCATCCATGCAAGGCTCAAGAAGAGAGAGAGAGAAGCGAGGCAAGGAGGGTAATATCGAGTGTATTTTTTGTCCCTCGGTTCATCGAACAAGAATCGAGGTTCAGGCGGGTAGCTCCTCCATGCACAACACACGGCCGGCCAACTAAGTCCGTAAGCCAATTGACCAGCAGGAGCTGCCAAGACATTGCTTCGAGGGTTTACTCCGTCGCTTGGTTGACGCCCAGGCCCGGAGAGATACCAAGTAGGGTTATAAGTTGAGAACTTATGATGGGGTGAGCAGCTTCCGATGGACCGATGAGTTCCATCTCACCTGCAAGATTTTTTTTCATCTGAGAAAGACAGAAAAAGAAAAAGAAAGAAAAGCATGGTGCAGAATAGCCGCAGACCAGGATCCTCGAACCAGTTGGGATCTCAATCCATCCAGATGCCAGGCAGAGTCGCGACTTGGGAAGCTAGCCCATGCAACGTGTGCATCGAATATCGACCAATGAAGGAGGTCGGTAGGTTATGAGAGGACGTTCGATAGCGCTCGGGGTTTCGACCAGAGGTCCAGGACCAGCGCACACCTCACAAATCCACACAGACTGTTGCCCTGCTAGTCAATTTAACCGCGTGAAACTTGAAACCATCAAAGCCTCTCTTGGTCCGCGGGGTTCGGTACGAGGACGTGGGAATCGATATGGAGACTCGGAAGGAGGGGAGCTCGAGGGCAATGCGACAAGGCCAAGTTGTGGTCCGGTCTGCCGACGTCCCGGTGGTCGCCTGTGCAGACTCCATAGTAAAATAGTGTAAGCCTGCGTCGGAACCTGTCCTTATGCCACTCCCAGGGAACGCTATGCAGCTAGACGGCCAGCTGATGAAAGTGTTCTGCAGGTCCTGCAAGATTCCTGCACGACAAGTCAGAAAAACCTGCCATTGAATATCGTGCATGTAGCTAGTTCTCTGCATCATCCGAAGGATTCGCCAGAGGAGCTACGCGCTTCCCATTGACTGGATGTGAGCTTGTGAAGATCGTTCTGCCCGCACTCTTTCCCCTCCCGTAAACCAGACGGGAAACGTTCTCTATGATGGGACCCGACCCCCTTGGCGCTGCCGTTCCGACTCTCCGGTGCGGCGGTGCCGTCGAACCAGAAAAAAGGCACAGGTTCTGTTGCCGACAGACTCTCCAATGACGAAATCTCGATAGGCAGATGCAGAGTCGTCAAAGTGGGACAGAGGTGGATGCTTGATCCATACTTGGAGTCTGAGCAGGGAAGCCTGGCAAAGAGCCTCCAATATAAAAAAAAAGGCGCGTGTTCTTGATTTAGCTCCGCCCCAGAGAAATGCCGCAGGGAGTCGAGTAGCCAAAGTCAATTGGATATGGCCTTTCCCAACTCGGAGGATCACCGTTGAACGAAGTTTGAATTTCAGTGTGATTCGCGTGCCATCGTAACCCTCACTGTCAATCTCATCACTGTTCCGTTGCCAGTTGGTAGGGGCAGAAGTCAGATAGATCCTGGTCTGTCATCTCGCCAGTACGAGTACCCCAGTCCAGAAAACAATCAAGGTAGGACAGATTCCAGAGAGGGTGGTAGATGTGGGAACGAACTGCGCGCCAGTATCATCGGAATCAAGGTTTTGTCCCGGGGACCCCTAAAGCAAAGCTCTGTGGTTGCCCGATCTGTCTCGCATGCGACTCTGGGCGGGAACAGGAGCCAATATGTGGTCGTATTGGTAGGGCAAAGGTTTTGAAGGAGCAAGTCCAGCCTTGACCGTGAGCAGATATTCCCACTTGACTGCAGCGTCCAACGTGTGACGGAACTAGGGAACTGAATCCCACATTGAACTTCGGTTGGTGTTGGGTCCGCTTTTGGCCATGGAGAGGAGACAATGACCGAACCGTGACTGAATAGGATGACGCGGAATCGTGTCCGGTTCGAGGCCATGTCCACTGTCGCAGTCTACGAGGTCAAAAGGTTTTCGCTCTTGTTGTTGCTGTTGTTGTGCTGCTGCTGTTGTCGCTGTGTTGCCGCCGCCATCTCGTTTTCGTTCATTTTAACGTTTGTTTTTTCCCTTTGAATCTCCATGGTTCATTTCCATTCAAGACACTGATTGCGGCGATGATGTCCCATTTCGTCTTCGCGTGTCCACCCTAGTGAGAGTTTGCACAGATTGTGCAATGAGCATCGAACATCGGAATAACTTTAACCTGCAACTGGGATCCCCGGACGGATCTCCAGCGCATGGCGGACGTAGTATGGCGTGAGCAGGGCTAAGTCTCCCAACGACATTGAAAACTTTCGCATGTTGATGGCTCTTTTTTTCCCTCTCCTAGTGTCAGAGACTGATTGGTTGCCATGCGACAAATGAATAGACGATCCTCTGCAGGTCGTCGCGTGCGTCCTACGGCTGACGCGATTACATGCAGCTGCGCGAAACATTACACGCTGTTCGTCCATCTCCGCAAGTCACGTCGATGGCCAAGGGTACCCAGCTCGATGTTCAGTGATCCGCGGCTCCCCATTCGCTGCCGTTGGTTAGACTAGACTCTGCGAATGCTTTTCAGCTGGCCAATGTCAAATTGAGACTTTGGGTTTCATCCATTTTCGGCAATGTAATGTCGGTGACGGCGGTGGCAATAAAGACGTATTTCGATAGAGCATTCCGTCTACAGCTACGGATGGAGCATCAAGAATTGCCGTTTTGCCCGTTTGTCTCAGCCGACTCCACGGTGTCAGGTCAATCGGCGATGTTATCCATGCTGTCGGGACTTCAAAAGAGAGACAACAACAAGTCTGAGTCGGTATTTGAAAGACGCTGAAATATCGTTCTTCCGGGAAAGTTTGACGGAGAGAAGTTTTAGATCGTGCCATTTGATTGCCTCCTTCTGTATTAAAGAGCAACCAGCATTTGGTGAATGCAGGCGGAGTTCACTTCCTCTTTGCACCTGCCTTATTGACAGTGCCGTAGTGTTGTTGCAATACATTTCATTGGTCCAAATGCTGAGACATTAGCCTGGAGTCACTGGAGGCTGCTAAGGTGACATAAGCAGCCTTAGAGGACGTCTTCCCGGGCCGAGCTTTATTCCGATTTAGACATCCGAGCCCGGGCAGGGCACTTGATTCAAGGTCCACATTTTGAGGCCTGTCGTGAATATCGCATCTAGATCACAAGTGAAGTCGTCATAAGGCAGTTGCAATAGCCTAGCAAAGTGACAGTATTCTGGGCTTGCTGCTATCTCATTTGTCTCACGTCAAGTCGACTGTCGCAGAGCCAACAGCTTTGCATCGCTGACAGATTCGTTGAAGCAAATTTCTACCACCACCGCCACCACGAACTTACAACTTTTTGAGTAGCAACGATGGATGCGGAGATTAGAACCGTCTTGCCGAACATCGACCCGGTGCTCTCCGAGTACTCGGTCGGATACTTGACTCACGCATCGACCATCTACTCGGACGAGGAAGAGCAGTCTGGCGTCTCACCTCTCGCCGAGGCAGCCGCTACCGTCACCGAGTTATTGCTCTCTGCCTCTGGAAAGCCTGACGCTAAGCTCCAGGAGAAGATTGAGAAACTCGTTGAGAAATGGGTTGAGAAGTACACCGAGTCGAATGGAGGATTGCGAAGCGGCCCTTTGGCCGTCAGGCGCCTTGATGAGACTTTCCAAGTCAGCTCTCAGCGGAACATGTCTTCCACTCTGGCCGTGTCAACGGGAGCTGTCGATCTTGAGTCTGCAAACGCTCGCAAGGTCGAATCAAAGGTTGATCGAAAGAAGCTGGAAAAGGCCGAGCGCAAGATTGCAGCCAAGCAGCAGAAGAAGACCTTCAAGACGGTTGAGTATGAGGCTTCCAGATTGCTCGACGAGCCTGAGTCTACTCAATCATACGAGGAATTCTACATGGCTGTCAACCCTCTCCAGATGGGTGGTTCTGGCGCGAACAAGACCAAGGATATCAAGTTGGACAACATCGATGTCTCCATTGGTGGCCTGCGTATCGTGACCGATACGGACTTGACCCTTTCTTATGGTCACAGGTACGGTCTTGTTGGACACAACGGTGTTGGTAAATCTACGCTTCTTCGTGCTCTGTCTCGCAGAGAGCTGCCAATTCCGCCTCACATTACCATTCTCCACGTCGAACAGGAGGTAAGAGTGAACTTCGGCCACTCTCAACTCTGTTGTATACTGATATTTGCGTAGCTTACTGGTGACGACACCCCTGCGATCCAAGCTGTTCTTGATGCCGACGTGTGGCGCAAGGTTCTTCTCAAGGAGCAGACTGTAAGTGATACGCAGTCATAATTATCTCTGAAAAGTGCCATCATGCTGACAACCTTGTAGGAAATTACTCAGAAGCTGGCAGAGATCGAGACCCAACGTGCGGGCATGGCCGATACTTCGGCCGATGCCGCCAGACTTGACAAGGAAAGAGAAGCTCAAGACGGCAGGCTCGGTGACATCCAGGGCAAGCTTGCCGAGATGGAGTCCGACAAGGCCGAGTCAAGAGCCGCAAGTATTTTGGCTGGTCTCGGTTTCTCTGCCGAAAAGCAACAGAATGCCACCAAGACCTTCTCAGGTGGTTGGCGTATGCGTCTGGCGTTGGCCAGAGCCTTGTTCTGCGAACCTGACCTGCTGCTTCTCGACGAACCGTCCAACATGTTGGACGTCCCCTCTATTGCTTTCCTTGCCAACTACCTCCAAGGATATCCCAGCACGGTTCTCGTGGTTTCTCACGACAGAGCTTTCCTCAATGAGATTGCGACAGATATCATTCACCAACACTCGCAGCGTCTCGACTACTACCGCGGTGCCAACTTCGAATCCTTCTACGCTACTCGCGAGGAACGCAAGAAGACTGCGAAGAGAGAATACGAGAACCAAATGGCCCAAAGAGCCCATCTTCAGGCCTTCATCGACAAGTTTCGCTACAACGCGGCCAAGTCTTCCGAAGCCCAGTCACGTATCAAGAAACTCGAGAAGATGCCAGTACTCGAGCCGCCCGAGACAGAGTACAGCGTGCAGTTCAAGTTCCCTGATGTCGAGAAGATGTCGCCTCCTATCATCCAGATGACAGGCGTGACATTTGGTTACACGAAGGAGAACATCTTGCTGCGCAACGTTGATCTCGACGTGCAGCTAGACTCTCGTATCGGTATCGTCGGACCCAACGGTGCGGGTAAGACAACTATTCTCAAGTTGTTGATCGGAAAGCTGTCGGCCACTTCGGGTATCATTTCGCAAAACCCCCGTCTGCGCGTCGGCTTCTTTGCCCAGCATCACGTCGATGCTCTGGATTTGACGATGAGTGCGGTTGGCTTCATGTCCAAGGAGTACCCTGGCCGGACGGACGAAGAGTACCGCAGACAACTGGGTGCCTTTGGCATCACGGGCACGACAGGTCTGCAGAAGATGGCGGTTCTTTCCGGAGGTCAAAAGTCGCGTGTGGCGTTTGCTTGCCTTGCCTTGACCAACCCGCACATCTTGGTTCTTGACGAGCCTTCTAACCATCTCGATATCGAGGCGATGGACGCGCTCGCTACGGCCTTGCAAGAGTTCCAGGGTGGCGTTCTGATGGTTTCTCACGACGTCACCATGTTGCAGACAGTGTGCACCTCTCTCTGGGTGTGTGATGGAGGCACTGTTGAGAAGTTCCCAGGCGACGTTCAGGCCTACAAGAAGAGAATTGCAGCTCAGGCCGATGCGGCTGGTGTTGTCAAGGCTCATTAAGGGAATATGTCGTGGCCATGATAGTCTACGTAGCTACCATTGTTCCGCAAAATATGATGCCTCGATCGTCAGTCACCTATTCTTTCAGTGATGAGTGCACTTTGTGAACTTTATGAAGTCGATCTGCGTTTGATAGCTCTCAGGCACACCGTTAGCTCATTTGGCAGTGATGGAGCCCCCCTTGCAAATGTTGAGCTCCACTGGCAATTTAGCATTTTCGGTCAGTGCTTGGGGATCAGTGCCGAGCAATCTATGTAATGCCATTCATATCGGTACGTAGGCTCTGTGTTTGACGTTGGCTTTTGGTAGGGCTGCCCGGTGCCGCACCTGCCCCGATTGTTAGAGAGTCCGTGGCTTCCCGAAGCTCAGCACCATTACCTACAGTTCATGCCTTGGTTTCTCGGGTTTCTGATGGAGATGGTTGGCACCTTATCTGGACGTGTCGTTGGATGTTTGGATCCCTCAGCAGATAGTCGGTCACCCCGGGTCTCGGATCGGAAAGAACAGAGGAGACGAAATACAGGGGACCTGAAGGTACGTACTTGCTGTGGTCGCGCTGTCTGCCAATCTGCTGTCACCTCAACTCATTCAACCCCACTTCCAATTGGTGTTTGGGGGGAGACACTGGGGGGCACTGGGGGCCACTAGGACGGCCACTTGGGGAGACTTGGGTGGTGGTAGGCGGGTGCCTTGCACTGGTCTTTCCCCAATCGGGGTCGTGCACGGGCCCAACTAGCACCACACAGTAAACAAGCGAGCTGCACCCCTTCCCTCTGGCCTGTCGCTGGCCTGTCGCTGGCCTGTCTTCTGGGCGTCCACCGAGCCGTGGCGGTGAACAAAATCACATCCACCCGCAAACAAAAATCAACAACCTCCTCCCCTACCTAACCACACCTTACCTCGCCCAATCCTCCACAACAACCCTTTCGCCTTGAAGCTTCGCCTAGCTCTCGAGCACTCTCTTCGTCTTCTTCATCGTACATCGCCGGCCAACTTAGCTTCAGAGCTTTCCATCATTCAAAATGCGTGAGATTGTAAGTCGCTCTCTCCCATCAACAACAATTCTGCGACGCGTCGGAATGGCCACTATTTCGGGGTAGCCCCTGAGCGTACCCCGCCGATATTCCCACCCAAGCCATGCTCGCCAAACATGGCCCGACTTGCATCTCCAACGCTTCTGTCATGGGAAACATTCCGCTGACCATTGATTGTTTTCTCGCAATAGGTTCACCTTCAGACCGGCCAGTGCGTAAGTATCTCCTGATCTCAACCCAACAAGCCAGAGTGCGGGGCTAACTTCTTTGAACAGGGTAACCAGATTGGTGCTGCCTTCTGGTGCGTAGCCAACCGCCAACGACGCGGCGATTTCGACATTTGACACGATCTCGAACTGACCTTGATACAGGCAGAACATCTCTGGCGAGCACGGTCTCGACAGCAATGGCGTGTATGTCACTTGTCCTCCAGTGCGGCACCCTCATGGACCCAGCAGCTAATCATACCACAGGTACAACGGCACTTCCGAGCTCCAGCTCGAGCGCATGAGCGTCTACTTCAACGAAGTTTGTTATCCTAGTCCCCCAGTGTGCAGGCAATCCTATTGACGAATGCTGACCTTCTCACCCAACCAGGCCTCCGGCAACAAGTACGTTCCTCGCGCCGTCCTCGTCGACTTGGAGCCCGGTACCATGGACGCCGTCCGTGCCGGTCCCTTTGGCCAGCTTTTCCGCCCCGACAACTTCGTCTTTGGCCAGTCCGGTGCCGGCAACAACTGGGCCAAGGGTCACTACACTGAGGGAGCTGAGCTCGTCGACCAGGTTCTCGATGTCGTCCGTCGCGAGGCTGAGGGCTGCGACTGCCTCCAGGGCTTCCAGATCACCCACTCCCTTGGTGGTGGTACCGGTGCCGGTATGGGTACCCTCCTGATCTCCAAGATCCGTGAGGAGTTCCCCGACCGCATGATGGCCACCTTCTCCGTCGTTCCCTCTCCCAAGGTTTCCGACACCGTTGTCGAGCCCTACAACGCCACCCTCTCCGTCCACCAGCTGGTCGAGAACTCCGACGAGACCTTCTGCATTGACAACGAGGCTCTCTACGACATCTGCATGCGTACCCTCAAGCTCTCTAACCCCTCCTACGGCGACTTGAACCACCTCGTTTCCGCCGTCATGTCCGGTGTCACCACCTGCCTGCGTTTCCCCGGTCAGCTGAACTCTGACTTGCGCAAGCTCGCCGTCAACATGGTTCCTTTCCCCCGTCTCCACTTCTTCATGGTCGGCTTCGCTCCCCTGACCAGCCGTGGCGCCCACTCCTTCCGCGCCGTCAGCGTTCCCGAGCTCACCCAGCAGATGTTCGACCCCAAGAACATGATGGCTGCCTCTGACTTCCGCAACGGTCGTTACCTGACCTGCTCTGCCATCTTGTAAGTGCCACACGACGATGACCCTAGAATATAAGCAAATGCTAACTTTGTCGTTCCCAGCCGTGGTAAGGTCGCCATGAAGGATGTTGAGGACCAGATGCGCAACGTTCAGAACAAGAACTCGTCCTACTTCGTCGAGTGGATTCCCAACAACGTCCAGACCGCCCTTTGCTCCATTCCTCCCCGCGGCCTCAAGATGTCTTCCACCTTTGTCGGTAACTCTACCGCCATCCAGGAGCTCTTCAAGCGTGTCGGTGAGCAGTTCACTGCCATGTTCCGTCGCAAGGCTTTCTTGCATTGGTACACTGGTGAGGGTATGGACGAGATGGAGTTCACTGAGGCTGAGTCCAACATGAACGATCTCGTCTCCGAGTACCAGCAATACCAGGATGCTGGTGTTGACGAGGAGGAGGAGGAGTACGAGGAGGAGGTCCCTCTTGAGGAGGAGGTTTAAGCGCAGTTCAATCGCACTGTCAATATAACCTGACACTACGCCAACCCACCTGTGGTGGCATTTCGCTTCGCGATTCTGGCTTATTGCTGGAAATGGGCTTCTAGATATACCTCTCTTAGTAGTTCGCCTGACGCATCAAATGAGTACGAAGAATCAGAGATTACTCTGTACAAATTACTGGCACAAACAACACCATCATTCAACCCCTTACTCATATGACACTTGCCAATTCTACGAAAAAAAAAATGAATTTCCTAGACTCGAAAGCCATGAGAAGCAATGAGCTTGAGCTACCTAACCATACGTTCCAGCCGTAATAACCTTAGGTACCTTAGTTTTCCTCTCGAGCTAAGCAGGGGCCAATCGGAAGTACCCAGGTTGTGGATCGCGCATCGCTGACTAAGACGTGGAAAAGTTGCTGAGGGTCCCCAATTCCAATTGTCGAGGAGCACCTGAGCGAGCGCGCCATTGGGAGGTGTGTTGTAGCTTGCCAATCTCTCCGACGAAACGAACAATGCTGGCCTCCAGGACGGCATTGAGGCGGGCGTTTGCCGCCTCGCCGGCCACGACGATACCAGCCTTCCTTGTGCCAGCTCTTCAACAGCAGCAGCAGCAACCTCGCCAGTTCTCCTCGACGCCGACACGAAACTCCAAGCTCGGGCGGACGCCGGTCTCGATCCCACCGGGCGTGAAGCTGGCTATTAGCGAGCCGAAGCTGAAGAAGGATCCGACGAGCTACTTGAAGGTTTACAAGAGGACGGTTACCGTTACGGGGCCCCTGGGTACGTTTCTTTGGTGGTGTCCATTCGAGAAAGGGGGTGATGGGAGACTGCAAGGTGCTTAGGCTAATGCTGGATTTGTTTGCTACAGGAGAATTGGATCTCGAGATCCCGCCTTTTCTGAAAATTGATTACGATGTCGAGGGCAGCACGGCGGTTCTCAGCGTGGAGGACTCGAACATCAAGGAGCAGAGCGAGATGTGGGGTGAGTTTCTTTACCATTTTTTGCCGTCTTTTCCCTTCCCTCTCCTTCACTGCCCTCTTCAAGGAAGCTCAAGCTTGCCTTGTCGGCTTCAGCGAGAGTCGAGTCACATCCCAATTGACTGAACGCGCTTTGCTAACTACTCTGAACCTCAAACAGGCACGACATGGGCCTACCTCCAGCGCTACATCATGGGCGTCTCCGAAGGCCACACGGCGATCCTCCGCCTCGTCGGCATCGGCTACCGCGCGAGCGTCGAGCAGCGCGGCCGCCTGGAAGAGTTCCCCGGACAGAAGTTCCTGTGCCTGAAGCTCGGCTTCACGCACCCGGTCGAGATGGGGATTCCGAGCGGCGTGAAAGTCACGGCGGCGAGCCCGACGCGTATCCTGCTCGAGAGCATCGACCGCGAGCTGATGATGAGCTTCGCGGGAAGAGTGCGCAAGTGGCGGCCGCCGGAACCGTATAAGGGCAAGGGCGTGTTTATCGATGACCAGACGATTAAGCTGAAGCAGAAGAAGATCAAATAGACGATTTCGCTGCGCGGACGGTTGGGTTGGGGTGGGAGCGGGGAGAGTATGGGATGTGGTGTGGCACTTCTTTTGGCTTTGCTACCGAGTCGACTGTGGTTGTGTGTCGATGGCAGAGCTTCTGGAGGGCTGTGTATAGCTGTATATCACTGTACGGGGATGGGAAAAGAGAAAAAAGAGACAAACAATGTACACTATTTATCTGCTGGTTCTTCAAGACAGCCGAGGAAAAATCGCAAAATCCAAAAAGTCCAAAACTTCTTTCATATTTTTTTACTATTATACTTTTCCAAGACTTTTTGCTTAGCTAGATTTCGAGCTCAACACCTCTTGGACAACCTTCAACACCTCGCCGTGCACCGCAGCCGGCGCGGCAATAACACCCTTATTGTTGGCCAGCGTCCGTCCGACGGCAAAGTCCAACCTCTTGCCCTGGATATCCGTAACCTGACCACCGGCCTCGCGCACAATGAGGTCGCCGGCCGCGTGGTCCCAAATCTTTTCCTGGTACGTCGCCTTGACGGGCAGACGGAGGTAGATGTCGCCGGCACCGCGGGCAATGGAGCCGTATTTGCTCTGGCTGTCCATGCGGACGCTGGGCTTGGTGATGCCGAGCTTGGCAGCGATCTGGGCCTGGTCGTCGTGCGCGCTGTGGCCGGCCTCGACGCTCTCGCAAAAGGTGGCGGCGGAGAGGTCGGTGACGGGCTTCATGGAGATGGGGCTGCCGGAGGCGATGGCGCCGGTGCGGAGGGGCCGCGAGGTGGCGCCCTGGCCGAGGACGGCGGAGAAGATGACGCCGTAGCCCGTGTCGTCGTTTGCGTTGGAGCCGATGTCGGCGGCGAGGGGCGCCTTGTCGTCGACGGGAAGGTTGGGGCAGCCGAGGACGCCGACCTTGACGTCGCCGTCGACCATGAGGGCCAGGCAGACGGCGTACTGGCCGCCGCGGAGGAAGCCCTTTGTGCCGTCAATGGGGTCAATGGCCCAGATGCGACCGGCGGCGCCGCCCTTGCTGTTCCCTTGGTCGATGATGTCCATCATGCTCTCGGCGGAGGCGATGCCGCCGCCGAGGGAGGCTTCGGCGGCGGCGTCGTCGAGCTGGGTGGTCTTTACGAGGTCCCATATCTGGTCGCGGAGCTGGGGTTCGGAGCGCAGCTGGGCGGCCTCCTCCTCGGCGACGATCTCGTCGTCGGGGAAGTGGTGGCGGAGGGCGGCGATGATGAGGGCCTGGGCGCCAAAGTCGCCAATGGTGACGGGGGACTTGTCGTTCTTGTCGACGGTACCTTTTGCCTTTTCGTGGAAGACGCGCTTGGTGAGGATGGAGGCGCGCTGGACGGCCAGCTGGGCCACCTCGAGCTCCTTTGCGTAGGATGACATGGCGGGTTGTGAGTCTCTCTTTGTCGAGGAAGACGAGGAGGAAGAGAAGAGGGTCGTGGTCGTGGTGAGAGGGAAGAAGTGGCTCGAGAGGAGGGACAGCCGGGGAAGAGCTCGTAGAGATAGGATAGCCAGGGTCACGACGAGGACGGAGGAGATGAGGAGGAAGGGCACGAAAGAGAGACGGGAGGTGGGTTCCTGTCTTGTTTTGTTGTTTCCGCTTGATGGTCGGACCTTGGAGGGCATGGAACTCTAGACGTAAGACGGGAGGTCGAAGGCGGTTTGTGTGGATGCGCAATGTGGATGTGGATAGTGGAGGAGGGGGAAAGTTGTGTCTAGGAGGCAAAGCTCCTTGGTTCCTGGCTCACTCTATGGCTCCAGCATGTGTTTAAGATGGCGGCTGTTGCGTCATGGGATGGGCCATTGTGGACGCACAAACGAGTCAATTCGCCCAGAAGGCCAACTTGGACGCCTGAAGGTACCTTAGTAGGTATCCGTAGAGCTGCAGTGTCACGTCGTTATTTTTTTACCGCCCTCCACTTATTGTTTCTGTGGATAGGATCGGTATTGGAAAAATGCCAGTGAAAAATCAGACTTGAAGAAAAGATGCTCAAATGTGGTAAGCATTTGCCATAACTAGAGCTGCAAGTGCTCTGTTAAGGAGGGGTCGAGAATCCAGAGTCAGGACCCCTCCATCCGTGCTTGCTGCCGGTGCCGGCGCCGGGCCGTGGATGCGACCGATAGCCGTCCACGGGTAATAGCTCAGGTTGGCTTCCTTGCCTTATGTAATATAAGCATTCCGGGCTTTTCTAGGGTACCTGGGGCGGGCTGTATTCAAATTTCTATTGAAAGTGCCTGAGGTGAGGTTCCAAGGCAAGAACCTGCCCGAAAGTCTATGTAAGCCGCAGCAGGGCCCGCCTGGGACGGGGCCCACATTAACACCCGCTGAGCGCATCGGGAGAGCTCCAACGAAAGGAGGACCCCGGCCTCGGATTTCGATGCTCATAATGCAAAGCTTCAATCCAAAAAATCCCGTCGCATCTTCACCACCACCAACACCTCAACCACCACCACCACATCCTCCTCCGCCATTGCTTTCATCTTCTTCGCATACCTCTCAAGCGCCCGAGCAGTGGCAAATCAATAGAGCAAAACAGCCAAAATGACCACAGTCCCCCACCTCCGCTCCCTCTACCGCTCCCTCCTCCGCGAGCTCCCGCCCCGACCCGTCCTCGCCCGCGAGCGCTCGGCAATCCACAACCGCCTGCGCACCAGCTTCGCCGCAGCCCCCGTCGCCGTAAAGGAAGACTCGTCCCGCGCCGCGGCCGACGCCGCAGAGGCCGAGCAGTTCGCCGCCTACCTGCGCGCCCAGCGCACCTACGTCACGCTCCTCGAGCGCTACAACCCGGGCATGAACATGGACGAGGAGGAGCGCGTGCGCTTGACGGCGCGGAGGGTCGGCATGGATCTGCCCAAGGAGTTTAGGGACCGGTTGGAGAATAAATAAAGCGCCCGTTCTGACTGCTATCGATGGTGGGATGAAGTCTTTTTCTGACAGAGAGAGGGGGGCGAGAGTGTGTGGCCCTTCAGGACCGAGATGGATGGGTTGAGGAGGTGACCGCGATGAATGGGCCAATGGATCGATTACGAAGCTCGGCTCTACGAAATTGTATTGGAGAAGCTGTCGACTAGAAGTGAGGGAGATGCGATCAAGGAAATCCTCGATGGGGGATGCAGAAGCACAAGATCGAGGGACGGCGACCATCCCTCCACTCTTGGAAGAAGGTGCCGTGTTTATAAATGTAATATAATGGGCGTTTGGGTGGGAAAGTTGTTGTACGAAACTTAACGGGGCGCAGAGAACATCACTCAAAGACAGAGAGGAAAAAATACATGAAAAACACTACGATTCACTTTGGAAATACCGTTTGAAAATCTCATGCCGTTCAATATCATGTCTTCGTGCCATGTCTAGCTAATTCCTGGTTCACAAAAAACCTCCTACCAAGAGTTTTCTTGAAAATATATACAAGAAGTGTAAATAAGAGTCGTTATACGCAAAGGGGTATCAACGTCTTCGTCGCCGTGAAGATATATAAGAAAGTAAATCATACCCAGCCTCTTCATGTTCTCCTCTCTCGTCTATTGAAAAGCTCATTTAGACGCTGCCGACACCGCCCTCCTCCAAAGTCTCATCCCACCCGCCCGTCTCGAGCAAATACTCTCCCAACATCTGCTTCACATTCTTGATATTCTCACCCAGCGCACTCGTCCACTGGTCCTGCACGACGCGGACCTTTTCCTTCAAGTCGTCCGTCAGCATCCGTCCCTCCTCGTCGCGAAGACGCTGCGCGCGCGCATCGCGCTCCTCGGCGGTAAACTCCCTGCCCCGCCCGTCGTCCATCTCGTTCTGCACAACCTTTGCCTTTGCGTGCGTGACGGCCTCCTTGACCTCATGTAGCAGACACAAGAGGTTCGTCTGCGACTCGATGAACTGGTACGTGCTCTTCTCCGTGTGCAGGAGCAGGCTGAAGAGGTACTGCAGCGGATGCCGGCGGTATGACGGGTTCTCGTCGTACTCGGCCGACGGGATCTGGATGTGCAAGGCCTCCGGGTCGGCGGGGGCGATCTTGTCGAGCAGCCTACACAGCGGCGGCGCAATGTCCCAAAAGGCGGAGAGCTGCACCTCAACGCCGCGCATGACATTGCGCTCCATGACGGCCTGGAACTCCTGCGTGCGCGCAAACACCTCGTGCGCGAAAGCCAGCTGCCGCTTCGCGGCGTCCTCGGCAAAGAAGGCGACGGCGTTTTGGAGCTTCTCCTCGTTGCCGGCCAGGCGGTACGGCGTGAGGACGACGTCGCGGTAGCGGTTGTTGCGGTCCGTGAGGACGTCAAAGATGGCGCGGTGCAGCATCTCTCGCGCCTCAAAGATCCATTTGAGGAGCGTCAGCTTCTCCAGGAGCTCGGGCTTGTCGTCGCCTTCTTCCTGGGGCATGTCGGCGGCGCTAGCGACGTCGTCGAAGAGCCCTCCCGCCAGCTTGTCGAAGAGGGTTGTGGCCTGGGCGATGCGGCCGGTGATGAGGTCGTTTAGGGGCATGACGACCTGGCTTTGGAACTGCTCAAACTCTGTCTTGCCCAGCTCTTTCTGCTTCTCCTTCTCGGCTGCCACCGAATCATCTTCGATGGTCGACGCATCGGCAAACGAAATGTTGCCGGCGTTGATTTCCTGCTGTAAATTGGAGCGTAAAGCATTTCGCCTCTCAATGGATGCCTTTGCGGCTTCCTCGCGCTTCTTCGTGCTGGTGACATGGAATCTTTCTTTCGTAGTTTCAATCTGGGAGAGGTCGCTGATCTGGCGAACGGCTACTCTAGTCTCGGTCAATTCTGGATGGTTATTGTTGACGGCTGGATGATGACGAGGATACGGCGGCGGAAGGGTCACCAGTCGAGAGACGTCTAGGTGGGCTGGGTTCGGCGTCGTGGGCGAAGCTGATGAGCCAAGGGATTCCGATGAATACCGGAGTGGTTGCGGTGTGACCACGGGCTCCATCTCATGCCAGCCCGTTTTTTCGGGAGGATACTCGCCCGAAGACCTCGGGTTACTGGGGCCCGCTTGCGGGCTGTCCTCCCATTGCAAGGCTTCGTGGGCTTCTTTTGGCACGCCCATGTACTTGGACTCTCTCTTGGACCTCTCGACAAATTTTCCTCCTGCCCCTGAAGAGTCTGCCTCCCACCATCTACTGGCAGGTCGGCCCCGGGAATCTCCATCATCATGATTGTCACTCACGCTGAGACTCAATATCGGAGAGAGCGACGGCATGTAGTTGGAAGAGTAATTTGGGTTATTTGCCGATGGCGCAATGGGCGAGCCCGGAACGTTGGCTGATGTAGGAGCGGAGCTGGACTCCCCGGGCGTCTCGCGATAGACCGAGTTCATCGATCCGCGATGGGATCGCGTAGGTTCGGATGACTGGGGCGTCCACTCAGCCTGTGAAGTTGCCGACTCACGCCGTGTAACCATGGGACGGAAGAGATCCCTCGTCAGATCAAAGATCTCCGAGCCCATAGCGCCGATGGCAGAGGAATACCTTTCTCGCCTGATCCTGGACTCGTTCACGATGAAATCGGCAAACATGCGAACCCGCTCAGCATCGGTGGCCGCAGTAGATTCTTGGGTAGCGAATGCCTGGAACCGCTCAATTGTTTCGCAGCAAAACTGATCCGCAGTTTGCGTGATGACAATATGCTTTGTGGATGAGATGGATGCTGATGGAGGGCCGTCAGCGGGTGTCATTGAGCTGAATCTTGTTTGAGAGCTCGATGCCGATCGAGTCTGCGGCGGCGGTGTTGGCAGCGCCTTGGGTAAGACGCTTGGCGATCCATCCATCATGGGCGTGCCCTTTGACGGATGAGGTGAGAATGGCGGTGTTGCCGCCTCAATTCGACTGCGTGACGATGACGACCCGGGTGCCCGCGGCGTAGTCGAGTGTTCGTCAGTTCGAGGCGTGTCGTTCGATGTCCGTCCCCCGCTTCTTGGTCCTGATCTGTTGATCGTCAACCTACGTGAAAGCGTGTTCTCATTGGGAACAACAATGTCGTTGAGCTGGACTGGGTTGATGGTCCCATCTATCGAGTTATGCGGTCTGGTCCGGCTCTCAGCCCGGCGCTGAACGATGGTCTTGTCGTGGCGGACTGCTCTCGCCCGACTTAGACTGCCACCAGAGCTCAATGCGCCGGAATTGCTTGATTCTCCGGTCTGTGTAGAGCTCGCAGCACTAGCAGTATCGATGGTTAACTTTGGAGAGTGTCTCCGTTGTGATGAGCTACTAGGTTCCTCGGGCTGGTCAACCCAGTCTGCAGGAGTCGGAGGTACTGGTCCAAGGGCTGCAACGCCGGTTGGCGGAGGGCGCCTTGTGGGCGGTGAAGCCACGGGTGTAGTTGTTCTCGGCCCGCTCTGCACGCTCTGTGACCGAGACGAAGCTGGTGGTGGGACTGGAGGTGGCGGCGGGAGGGGCATTCCTGGTTCCCATCTTGACTGGGACGCCGAACGTGAGCGAGCTGAAGTCGGTGTCTCAACTGCGCTTGCGGAAGCAGCTCTTCGAGCACCGGGCGGGCCGTGTGATGAGTTCGGGTCATTGTGATGTGGCATTGGATGTGGGATCTGGATCTGAAGAGGGGTTGGCCTTGATAACGGCATAGGCATAGGCGGCATCGGCTCTGGAGGACTTGATTCTTGGGGCTCTCTGCTCCGTCTCAGGGAATGAAAACCGAAGCGCCTTTCGCGTGAGCTTGTCCGACCTCCGGCTCCAGGTGGGGGAGGGAACGATGTGTTTGTTGAGGGCTCCGGGGACGGCCTATGAACATTTGTGGGAGGAATTCGTGCTGCCGAAGTATTCGCCGCTGGTGAGGACTCGAAGAAGCCGCTCGGTGGTCGTTGGCTTCGCGGTGGACTATACGGAGGCGGAGGTAATGGTGATCCTATGGAGGCTGGTCAGCAAAGCCGGCCAGGCCCAATGCAAATTTGGGTCAATAGATACCTTGCTCAGGGAACTGATGTGATTGATGGGACCTTTCGGACCCGGCAGCAGGTGAAGCTATCCATTCTTGTGGGTTATAAGGCTGTATTGCGCTTGCAGGAGTGTGGGCAGCCGAGTGTAAGTGCGATGAGGACACTGCTGACAGCGGCGTGTTGACCTGGTTGTGGTATGCACCCAAAGACTGAGTTAAAAGCGGATTGAGACCCTGGCGCAACCGGGTTGGATCGCGAGGATTGTTCATTGTAAGCCAAATGGCCACCCGCTGAGCTGAGCAACTCCCGGCGACGTCAGAAACTTGAGATGGTTGTGGACTCGGAGTGACACCGGAGTCGGTTCGAGGAGATGAGGACGACTTAGACCCTCACTGGGGTTAAGGATACCTCAGCCAGCAACTTGCCGGCCTCTTTCGCACTTCTTCCACTCTTTACCAGCCCATTCAACTTGACTGATGGAAAGCCGATCTCATATCGAGGAACACACCGCACAACCGAGAGGACGGACAGGCAGCCGGCAGTAAGGTCGTGTCACACCTAGGAGGGGGAGGGCGCGGCTGAAGCGAAAGGGAACAAAAGTTTGGGTGGGAGGACGCAGAAGATAAAAGAGATGGTCATGTCTAGGTCGGGTCTGCTGCAATGTGGTCAACCTCCTGCATAAGAGGTACATACATCCCACCCCACGTACAGGAGGGTACCGGGGTTGCTGGCTCGCTCCTGGCTCACGCTTGATCGCCCGCCGACAGAATTGCACCCCTGTGGCACCCCTACTCTTGGGTGGCCCAGATTCAAGACATTGGGGTGAGAAGCAGGAGGGGCATGGAAAACAGCGGGCTCTCGGGAGCACGAGGAAACGACAGGAATAGCAGCCGGGTCCCGGAGCAAAAGCGCAATGGTGGATCTCAAGGCCGGGACTAAAGGCAGTTGATGCTCGGCGCTGAGTTGTTGCAACTTGCAGCAAACATAGCGACTAGCTCGTTTCCCGACTTCGGTGCAGAGCACATATGTACCTCATAGCGGGAGCCGATACATGACAGGGTATTGAGCTAATTCGAAAGGGTGTCAAGGTATGGATGGGTACAAAGTACGTTCGCCCATTCGCGAGGGGCAGCACTTGCTTGCTTGCGGCATGGGGTTGTGAAAGCGAGCCGGACAGCAAAGTGCGGAAAGGCCAGCAACATCCCATGTGGCTGTCGCGACTGCATGACAGGCCTGCAGATGCCGACAAAGCTAAGGTGCTGCTATCCGCGTTGCTGTTGTCTCGTCTCAGGTCCGTCGCTGCAGTTCTTCTCTGGTTTTCTTCTCCCACTTGAGAATGATGAAATGGCGTGGTACTGCTACGACCATCATCAGCCGGGACGGCACTCTAGAAGGTAGGAAGGCATAAAGCCCAGAGTCAGGGTCGCAGTACTGAGCATTGTCGACCCGACATAGCAAGCGGACCTTATCACAGTACACCTGAGCAAGAGACAACCAACGAGAAGAGGCGAGCATGGAACATAGCATACGCAAAGCTCGTAGCGACCTGCCACGGCCCAACAAGAGGAAAGATGAGTGAGCATCGCGCCAGGGTCCGGTCCAAAATGGCCTGTCATTTTGATGGGGCCAAGAGAAGAGACTCGTGGAGACGTTGGTAGGCGGCCGTATCGATTGGTTGGTTTTCTCGTGGGAGGTCATTCTATTCTTGGAAGCATACTTAGACCCTGGCTAGTCAAAGAGATGTTTGGGGTTGTGATTGGTTGATGGTGCTGTGAAAAGAACGCGGAGGTGATTGTCGGCGCTTAAAATGCCCTTCGATTTGCTCGACAGTCTGAAAGACTTCCGTTGCTCTCCCGGCCCTACTTCCTCTCCGCGGCCGCCGCCCGCCCGATGAAGCTGGACGAGTGATTCAGTCGTCGGCTGGCAGCCTTGAAGGAAAGCAGGCATTAGCGTTGAGCAAGCTTAAGTCCTAGTCAAGAGCCAGACCTCGGGAGTCTTGCTCACCGACTTATTGCTTGTTTGGAACTTTGGCCGTCTTTGGAGTTGATATCGAGGTGGCTGGGCCCTGTCCTGTAATCGAACAGGGTTGAGGTACCAGATAGCTTCCACGTGAATGAAGAAACCTCCTGTGGATACGTGAAGCTGCGGGGTTGGATGCAAAGAACAGGCATGGAAGTTCTAAATATTGCTCAAGGCCCGTTTGCTTGGAACCAATATGGCTTTGCGGAGTATCCCAGAACTGAGAATGGAAGTTTTCGATGCCATCGAGCATATTTTGGACTGCAAGAATCTTAAAAAGTGCATCGATCATCTGCTTTCTCATTACCGTGTAACGAGGCAATTTGGCAAGCATCGGCACTGCGGCACCCGGACAGTCGAGCAGGTATCATCCGTTGAGATCCCGTCCTTAGGCCTCTTCACGGTGACATCGTGTGAACGCAACGGTCAGAACGCAATCACTCAATGGCATCGCGGACTGCAGATGACCCTGCCCCAAATGGCACGGAAATAGTAGGCCAAGAGCGGACGTTGGCCGCGTGGGAGCGACCACATCCGGCTTCTAGAAAATGGCCTGGAAGGCACTCAGGTTTTGCATCGGCCTGCCGCCTGCAAGCCAGCTGTTTCATATACTATGGTCTGGTTTGAATGGAGAGCAAGTGGTGTTTGCCGTTCCGTGACCTGGACTTGCTTGCAGCTGTAGGTATCGTAAGCGAGACCTTATTGAATCACAGCTTTCTTTTCCCGTTTGATGTTCCAGACGATGGAAAAATAAGTATGTAGATGAGTCGCATTCGGATTGATAGAAAGACTTTGTGACAAATAGTTTGCCTGATGAGCCGACGTCTGCAGTCCCATGTATCGGCTCCGATATATCTCGTCTAAGGTAGTTCATCCAAGGATCTGGTACAACATGAGGGGGAAAGAAGAAAGCTGTAGTGCAGCGACGCAGTATGCCCTTTGCCCTGAAACTATTGCCAGCTGAGACAAACAAAAAAGGAGTTAAGCAATCCGAACCGAGCATGTGGGCTCGTCTTTTCGTGGATTTGTGGTACGCAACATTGATCTGGACGAATGATGAACATGTGCAATTTGCAAGACTACTGAATGAGTACCAACAATACCATGGCAAGCACAGGCCAATCTCGGTCTACCAATCTGGTGACCTTGAACAGGCAGGTCGGGCACGAGCAAGTGGAATGGAAGGTGGGGTTCAGCCGCAACTACGGGCAAACCAATCGGCCGACGATTTACCGCCCAGCCCACCTCGCAGCGGAGAGGCCGTCAGAATTCTAGAGCTTTCTTTCAAAAGAGGTCCCGCGCTCAGATTTAATCCCATCTTCCTTTTCTTTCCATGCGCAACGCTTCCTTGGACATGACACTCCAACGCGCCAATCCGCACTGAGGTAAGGACTGACCCCCAATCTCACCCCTTCTTTATCTACCCCGCGCCTTTTTTCTTTCCATCTTCTCCCAATATGATGATACACCAGCTGGCACCAGTCATAGAGTGATTTGTACTCCCTTATTGATGAAAAACGCTGCGGTCTATTGACCAACCACTGATCCGGGACAAACCGACAATTTATTTGTTTACTTCTTCAACCCACGAAACCTCGCGACGCATATACTTGTTCCTTTGCTAACCTTGCAATTGGAATCTTTAACAGACACCCATTTCCTACCTCGCAGCCTGAATCAGAAACCGAGTCACCGCCGACAAGATGGTCCTCCACAACCCCAACAACTGGCATTGGGTCAACAAGGATGCCTCGGCCTGGGCGAGACAGTACCTTGAGGAGAGCTTGGCGAAAGTCGAGACTACCGATAGCGGTGTCACGGCAAAGATTAGCAAGGTTGTGAGCATGGATGGCGACGTCGACGTTAGCCAGAGGAAGGGCAAGGTCATCACCATTTACGATGTTAAGCTCGTTCTAGAATACACCGGTAGGTCCATCAATGCAAGCACATGTGTTTCACATCCCGTAAAAAACCTCGTTCAACCGACTATCTCTGCCTGACATTGTACCATTTTTGTGAAGTCGTGTGTTCTGGAGCCTCGCTAACGTAGCGCAGGCACCACTGCCGACGAGGCTGAGGTCTCTGGCACCATCACCGTTCCTGAGGTCGCCCACGACACTGAGGAGGATGAGTTTGTGGTGGGTCTCTCTCTTGTGAAATCTCTGCATTGTCAAAAGGCCACCCCGTTTTACTGAGACTTTGCCTGCCTGATAGTTTGACATCGACATCTACTCCGACTCCAAGGAGAAGCAGCCTGTCAAGGACCTCGTCCGCTCAAAGCTCGTGCCGGAGCTCCGCAAGGAGTTCCTCAAGCTGCCCGGAGCCTTGATCGCCGAGCACGGCAAGGACATCCAGCATGCCCCCGGATCCAACCCGTCCAGCGGCTTCTCGACCCCCAAGTACCAGGCACAGAACACGACGGCCAAGTCCACCACCGCCTCGACCAGCGTCAAGGGTAGCTCCGGCAAGGTCGTCAACACCATGACCCTAACCGACACCGCCGAGTTCCGCACCACGGCCGAGGAGGCATACCAGACCTTTGTCGACCCCGCCCGCATCGCCGCCTTCACCCGCGCGCCGCCCAAGGTCTTCCAGGGCGCCATCAAGGGCGCAAAGTTTGAGCTGTTTGACGGAAACGTCACGGGCGAGTACCTCGAGCTCAGCGCCCCCAAGAAGATTGTCCAGAGCTGGCGCCTGAAGCAGTGGCCCGAGGGCCACTTCTCCAAGCTCAGCATCGAGTTTGACCAGAACGACGTCGACCACGTCACGCTGATGCGTGTCAACTGGGACGGCGTCCCTGTGGGCGAGGAGGAGGCCACGAAGCGTAACTGGCAAGAGTACTACGTCAACAGCATCAAGCGCACATTTGGGTATGTCTCTACAAGTTACATCAACCTTGCTGAGATTACATTCTAACGTTCGTTGTTCCCTAGGTTCGGCACCATTCTGTAAGCGTGAAAACGTTTGAAGACGAGACTTTGGACACTCAGTGGCAACGTCAAGCCAATTTTTCTGCTTGAGAAGTGGAAGAACTTCCTGCAGGCGACTGGCTGACACGCACAAACGGTATGGAGAGTTCTGCGGCATGCATCATTAGATCCTCAGACTGGCTTTACAAGCCCTGAGTAGCTGGGGCGTCTGAAATTCCCTTGGGTTCAGCAGCCCCAGGTACGAATTAGATGAGACACGTTGAAATGAAACAAAGACAAACGTTGAAAGGGCCTCCATGATTGCTCCGTATTTTGATATG